AAAAAAAAAAAAAGAAAAACTTCTACAATGAGTAGTATTCTCTGAAGATATGAGCTGAATGTTGTTAGATATATAGGTAATTTCGGAAATTGCCAAAAATAACACGGATAGCYCTTCCAGTCAGTCATACAAAGCTGTGTACAGTAACTTTTTGATGATTTTCGAAAATTCGTATTGATTTAGTTTTAAAGTTATGAGCTCAAATTTTCAGAGAATGCTTATTGTGGAATGCTTTTTCGGACTCTGCCCATTTATTTTTGCTTGTAACTTTATTTCCTGCACAGCGGATTTATGTAAATGAATCCCATCGATAAATTGATAATTAACAGTCATAGCTAAATTAATGGGGATTCTTTGTCATTTTTATCTGGGAAATAACGGCTAGGTAGTAGTTGTTATAAGATTATTTACCTGAATGAGAAAATCATATATGTATCATAATTCAACTCTGGCGAACTCATTCAAATCTAAAATGTTCAACATGAAACAATATTGAACAAATATAATGAAACAACCCGGAGCGATAGAGAAACAGCTTTTCACTCGATTCTAGTCATGTTTATACTAGATAGTTGATTGTTTGAAATTATTATCGGCTAAATACGAAATGAAGTTATTCTTAAAATGCAAACAGAAAATTTTCGTACCAGCATGTAAACGACAGTCAAACCAAGGAACTAAACAGCATCGATAACATGGCACATTCGGGACGTATAAAATAAATAAATTCCTGTTCAATAAATCTAAGTTGTTATGTCAAGAAAAGCTTTCAAAGTTGATATCGCGACTGCGATTTAGCGAGAACACATTAAGGTGGATCCGAACTAATTCAGAAGGAATAATCACACTGTTATAGAATTTAGGATAATCAAAGCACATTATTTGAAGGAAAAAAACACACTTGCATTGACGCAATTTTAATTCTTTAATTCCGTAAATAAGATTTTGTTTTGTTCCTGAGGTATTTAATGGAAGTCTACGCTCTTATCCCAAGAAAGAATAATATAAGCAAAGTTAATTTGGGATCAGTCGTTTTGCTACGTAGACGCCACCGATGGTAGAAGCAAATACGAGGTGACGAAAAGCGCTTAGCTCAGTTATTTCTTTTTCCGTTATTCTATCATTTGCATATAGTTATTCATTCGTAGTTTAATTCCTTATTAAGAATTTGTGTTGTTTTTAAGATATTTAAGGGAAAAAAGTTCACTTCTTTACCCAACAATTTGACTTGTTCAAGGTTGATTTCGGCTCAGACTGACGCCCCCAACGGTACGAGCRAACACTACAGAAACCACTAAAATCTATTATTAATATCTGTTTATCCCTTACCTTTTTATTAGACGTTAATAGCTTATTAAGATTTTGTGTTGTTTTTAAAATATTTAAGGAAAAAAGTCCACTTTTTTACCCAACAATTTACTTGTTCAAGGTTGATTTCGGCTCAGACTGACGCCCCCAACAGTACGAGCGAACACTACAGAAACCACTAAAATCTATTATTAATATCTATTTATCCCTTACCTATTTATTAGACGTTGATAGCTATCTACTTACCAGAAGGGATAAGATAAGCAAGAACGCAAAGTGTTACAATGAGGAGCTTCATCTTGGTTTAGTCCTGAACGAGGGTAATTCGAAAACAAACTTGAATCAAAATGAGTTGTACTCGGGTATGATGTTTTCCAAGAAATACGCGACCTTTTAGTGAAAGCAGTATTTTAAGGTGTAGCCCCTAATAGAAATGTGTCAATCAAACTCACGTGGTATAGTGAGGGTAAAGTGATCGTTAATTGGTTCATTCGTTAAACAGGTTACACTGAAATTAGGCTAGCCATGCATGTATAAATGATTCTGTGAATTGTATTTATAATGATTGATGGGATAACACGGAAACTTTTAATTTGCAAAACATTTACAAGTATTCGAAGAACTTCGTTGCAAGTTTCCACGTATTTCGACATGTATTTTCAAGTCTTATTTATTTTACCTAGAACTTTCCCTGTTTAATCATTCATGTGAAAATGGAGTGGGTATGCTAATAATCAAGATTAGGGTGTGCCAAAACTGTGTGTCTGAAAGTACATAAAGCTAATCAGGTTGTTGACAATAACGTATTTAAAACTTTTTAGTCCAAAAAGTTTTTATTTAAATAATAGTTAATGCTAATAGTAGTAAACCCGTTAAAACTAAAAGGTTTTTTTTTTATGTGTGAACAATATAAAGATATTGATTCTACAATACATTAATTACCTTAATAATTCAATATTATATTGGGAAAATTTCGTTTACAGAAACTTAGAGGAATGAAAGAATCTTTCAAAGTTTTTATCGCGATTTAGCGAGCAAACACTTGAGGAAAATATTCGCTAAAAATATTATTAATATCTTTGAGCCTTGTATTTATTTATAAGACGTTAATAGCTATCTACTTACCAGAAGGGATAAGTGCAGCAAGGACGCAAAGTGTTACAATGAGGAGCTTCATCTTGGATTAGTTCTGAACGAGGGTAATTCGAAGACAAACTTGAATCAAAACGAGTTGTTCTCAGGTTAGATGTTTTCCAAGAAAGACGCGGTCTGTTAGTGAAAGCAGTATTTTAAGGTGTAGCCCCGAATAGAAATATTTCAATCAAACTCACGTGGTATAGTGAGGGTTATAAAGTGATCGTTAATTGGTTAATTCGTTAATCAGGTTACAGTTTTCTAAAAAGACATAGCCATAAATATCTAATGAGATGCAAGATATCAGAGGATTTCAACAAAAAAAAAGTAAAATCGTTATCAAAAAAATAAATAAATGAATAAAATGACTATGAAATTTTATATATTTCAAACCTGGGTATGCTAGCCCAAACGTGACAAAACTTCAAGTTGCATTTTTTCATGATCAAGYAGTACTTTTTATACATCAAGTTGATTTTCATTACACCAAGACCCTTGTGTTCTATGTCTAGTAATTTGTTTCGCTTGTCTAGTCATTTGTTTTTGATATCAAGCGCAATGTTTAAGTTGACAAGCAGCCATCACAATCAAAAGTCATTTAGGTCTTTGCGATTTGCATAAAAAAGGGAACGCTAGAAGGACTCAGGAGAATGATTGATTTCGATCAGCTTGCGATCGATGAACCATTTTTCATGGTGTTTACGCTAGATTTTATATAGCAAATGCGGGCGCAGGGTATTTTTGGCTTTATTGCAATGTTTTCCAAAACCTAGTTTATATTTTTTTGAAATGTTTATATAGTGTTCTACTTATGTGAAAAAAATCAGACYGAGCAAATTTGAGCAAGATTGGTTTTTTGACATCTCAAATGTAGACTAGCAACTGCGCCCGCATTTGCTATATAAAATCTAGCGTAAACATCATGAAAAATGGTTCTTTGAGTACAAAAACTAGCGAATTCTTCGTAATGAAAACTCTTATCATGTTTTGGGTGTTCTCTAACACCAATAAAACTGTTTTATTGCCTAAAAACAAAGATAAACAAGCCTAAATTTACCTTTGAAAGATCTTCTTGTCAGCCGAACTTCCTCCACAAACGGTCCGCCATTGTTGACAGTCAGAGCCCATGCCCATGCCCGTTTCAACGCCCTCCCTCCTCCAACACGTGTTCCCTCCTCTCGCCCTGCGACTAGCTTCTAGACCTAGCGCGTTCATCGATCGCAAGCTGATCGAAATCAATCATTCTCCTGAGTCCTTCTAGCGTTCCCTTTTGTATGCAAATCGCAAAGACCTAAATGACTTTTGATTGTGATGGCTGCTTGTCAACTTAAACATTGCGCTTGATATCAAAAACAAATGACTAGACAAGCGAAACAAATTACTAGACATAGAACACAAGGGTCTTGGTGTAATGAAAATCAACTTGATGTATAAAAAGTACTGCTTGATCATGAAAAAATGCAACTTGAAGTTTTGTCACGTTTGGGCTAGCATACCTGGGGTTACGGGTTTGATTTGATATTCAAGTGAACCATATATTATTCATATTTGTTAAATGCCACGATTTTCTCCTGGTTCTCTGTTTTTCCTCCTACTTAAATATCAACATGAGAGTTGTGTTGATAGAATATGTGACATTTTGTGTGAGTGTTTATAGTGTTAAAAACCAAAAGAATTGAAGTCACGACTATTAGAGTTAAAGTTAAAACTATATATCTTAACTATATCTATATCTTAATAATACATTATAATCTTTATCTATATCTTTTATTTCCTCGGTATTAACGTAACTTTTGTAGAATACCGTGGGAAATTCCCACGGATTTAGAATATATAAAGGGTAGATCTGAAGTAGACGAAGAGCTGACGAGTAATAAAAACAATGCACCCGGTATCTCTCTCTTGAGCGAGTGCTTACAATAATAGGCCAAATAGACCTTTCGCGTTTAAAATTACCACTGTGTTACTTGATGACAGACTCGATAGCCTCGTATCAGTGTCTAAATATGTTCACAAATACTAACGGTAAAGTAAATAAAACACACCACTTCAAAATTAGAAACGCTTTTAAATTCCACGGACGTCACTGGAACAGATGAATATTCTGCACAAAACCCAGGCTAACCCTGTGCAACAGAGAACTCGAAACTGCAGTATTTGAAAGCAGTTGGAACTCTTTACCTAATGACATTAAATTGCTTCCGTCTTTAAGAAAATTTAAAAGAGCACTAAAATGTTCTTTTTTAATTAGAAGCTACTATTTAGGTTATAATTATATATATATATACTATATA